CCTCTCTTCTCTCTCCTTTTTCTTCTTTCTGGTACTTAAACGGGACATACTGTAGATACATTCATTCTGTCTTCCATATTTCTTAAACTGTTCTGCATTCTATCTCCTTGTCTCTGTTTCTTGTTTTTTTTTTTTTGTTTGTTTTTTGTTTTTTGTTTTCGTTTTTAAGATTAATTCATAGTTGTGTCTGTTTGACCATGTGTTAATTTGATGTTAAGTCTATCTGTTGTATTTTAAATTTCAGATATTGTTTATTTCAGTTTCAGTGGTTCTCTTTAGTTCTTTTTCAAATATTTGGTCTGTCTTTGTAATTTTTTTCCCTGCTGGTTTTTGCAAGCCTGTTTTACCAGCTTTAATTTTTGATAATTGCAATATTTGGACTTAACAGTTACCTTTTTATTTTGAATGTTTCATTCCCAATATTTTGTTTACTTATGTATTTAGTTTCTTAATACTCATTTTACTGTTTTTCACTGACTTGTTTACTGTCATTTTTCTCAATTTTTTTCCTGTGGAAATTCTTCAAGTTCCTAGTAATGTGGGAGTATTCCAGAGACGATTGACACACTGTTGGCTAAGCACTTGGGTGCATTACCAACCTAGCATTATTTTAGATTCTTGATTTAAGATTTTTTTTCTTTTTTTAAGATTTATTTATTTATTTTGAAAGGCCTAGTTACAGAGATGGGCTAAGGGATAGAAGGAGAGAGATCAGTCTTCCATCCACTAGTTCACTCCAGGTGGCTACAATGGCTGGTGCTGGGTGAGGCTGAGGCCAGGGGCCAAGAGCAGGGACCCAAAAGCTTGGGCCAATATTTCCCAGGCCATTAGCAGGGAGCTGGATTGGAAATGGAGCAGCAGGGATGTGAATGGGTGCCTGTATAGAATGCTAACATTTCAAGCTGCAGCTTTACCCTGCTACACCACAACGGTGGCCTTGAGTTGCGCATCCAGATATTATTGTTCTTGCAGCAGGTAAGGTCCAGTTCACAGTTGTTTTTTTTTTTCCTCCTATTTTAGTTTTTATTTATTTATTTGAGAGGTAGAGTTACAGACAGAGAGAAGGAGAAACAGAGAGAAATGTTTTCTATCCACTGGTTCACTCGCTAAATGGCTGCAACAACAGAGCTGGGCTGATCTGAAGCCAGGCGCTTCGGCTGGGTCTCCCATGTGGGTGCAGCCACCCAAAGCATTTGGCCATCTTCCACTGTTTTCCCAGGTCACAGCGGAGAGCTGGACTGCAAGAAGTTCAGCCTGGACATGAACCGGCCCCCATTTGTGATGCTGGAGCCGCAGATGGAGGCTTAACCCACTACGCCACAGCCTATGATTTTGAAACATTTGATTTTCCTTTAATTGCCAGAGTAGGGGTTAGGGCTGGGAGTTAGGGAGGAAAGAGGGCAGGCAGTGGGTTTATTTCCAGTTTACATTGAACTTAACCTGAAAGTCCCAGGTTTATGAGGAAAAGTACATGTTTAGACTCACTACACCAAGAGAATTCATGCTGTATTTTCTTCCAGAGGCCCAGTGAGATACTAAAAACAACCTGAGTTTCATTGGTTTGCATATGCCTTCTGTGGATGGCAGTGTACAGTGTTACTACTTTTGTGAGTTCCCTTGTTTACTCAGACTTTAGACCAAGCATTCTTTGTCTTGCTAGTAGATGTTTTTATACTTTATTAGTAATTTTTTGTTTTCTTTGGAAGTATTGTTCGTTACTTAGGAAGTATGGCATATTATCATAATAGAAATAAAATACATAATTTTAAGATTTTAATTTTGTAATGTTCCTTTTTGCTTGTGCTTTTTAAATCCTTGTAAAAATACATTCTAATATATAATTGCCATCATTCCTTGATGGAAGTTTCAGAGCCCTTAGAAATCTTAAATGATAAGGATTCTTTCAGACTAGACTTTTTGGTTCAGCTAGTATTTGAGGACAGGATAAATGCACAGCACACTTACTGGTTTGAGTGAACCGCCTTAGTGACTGGCTCTGCCTTCAAGAAACCTGGAGTCTAGTGGGGAGATGACAAATTATGTAAAGTACTTTAGTAATAAAGACTTACAGAATTGCACAAAACCAAATCCAGGTGTGATAGGCTGTAAAACCAAAATTATCACATTCATCCTTTTGATTGTGAGGTACTAACCCACATTTTGAAACAGCCTTGTTATAGACTAAGTGTGCCCTCTTCCTCTCCCCATTCTTCTGTTGAATCCTTATCACCAACTTAATACTAGGAAGTAGGTCCTTTGGGGCAACCTTAGTTCTTTCGAGCACCTCCCTCAAGAACGCTCTTAGTGCCTTTGTGAAAGACAGCCTGAGGAGCTCCCTTGTTCTGCAGTCTGTGCACCAGGAAGCAGGTCTGCACAGATACTGTGCCAGCATCTGGATCTTGGACTACCCAGCCTCTAGAAGAGTGAGAAATTAATTTTTGTTCTTTGTATACCATTTAGTCTCTAGTGTTTTTGTTATAGTCTCAACCAATCAGTGCCCACTGGCGGGGAACGGGTAAACAAATTGTGGTGTATTTTTAGTTAGAATAAAATAATAAAAAAAGAACAAACTTTTTCTTTTAAGAGAATTTATTTATTTGAAAGGCAGAATTAGAGAGATCTTCTATCCACTGCTTCACTCACAAAATAGCCATAATGGCTGTGGGTGGGCCAAGTTGAAGCAAGAAGCCTGGAACTCCACTTGGATTTCCCACATGTGTAACAGGGTCCCAGCCCTTGAGCTACCACCCTTGCTGCTTCTCTAGGTGCATTACAGAGAGCTGAATCGGAACTGGGACAACCAGGGGTTGAACCCATGCTCTTATTAGATGCAGGCTTCACAGGCTGGGCGGCTTAACCCTCTGATTGGAATGAAGCTTAAACTGAGTATGCATTTCTCAGGACTCATTTGTGCATTTCACTCTGTAAATTTTATGCCAATAAAAATGTTATTGCATGTATAGAAATACACTGAAATGAAGCATAAATTCATGATATTTGTGAATTCTTCCTTGTTGGAGAAATGACCTCAAATTCAATATATTCTTGCAACAACCAAGTGCTTTATGGAAACTTAAAAAGAAAGATTGCAGTAGGTGAGGGTGTTCCTGAGATGACCTGAAGGTAGTGCAGTCCGTATCAGGAGAAATACCCAGTTCCATCCAGGTGAAGGCTCTGGTTTGTATGGAAATTCTGATGAAGTTACAGTAGAGTGAACAAGTGAAAGAGATTTTGGCTGGATGGGGAACCCTGGTCTTTTTATTGTCATTTATTTGACAGATAGAGTTAGTGAGAGAGAGAGAGACAGGGAGAAAGGTCTTCCTTCTGTTGGTTTACTCCCCAAATGGCCGCTACGGCCGGCGCAGCGCTGATCCGAAGCCAGGACCCAGGTGTTTCTTCCTGGTCTCCCATGGGGTGCAGGGCCCAAGCACTTGGGCCATCCTCCACTGCCTTCCCGGGCCACAGCAGAGAGCTGGACTGGAAGAGGAGCAACTGGGACTAGAATCCGGTGCCACAGGCAGAGGATTAACCAAGTGAGCATGGCGCCGGCCCCCACTGGTCTTTTTAGGGTGCTCTAGGAGAGAAGGTCATAAAATCAGTCCTTAAATTATCAGGTAAGATCCAGGCTGAAAAGCATTTTGAAATAAGACCTCTTTTACTGCTAACAGAAGGCTACTTTTTCAAGAGAATACTTAAATACAATAAAAAATTAAACTACTGGGCCTTGAAAAATCCTAGGACTGTGATTAAATAAAAAACTACATAAGTCACTTTGATAGCACATGGAGCAACCAATGTGTCAACATGCAGATTCTGTGTAGCGCTGGCTGTGACACATCAGGAATGGAATTAGGGGTTTAACAGACTTTATTAGTTGGTTATTATAATATGTCACTCATTTGTATCTTGCAGTTCTTTCATCTTTATAAAAGTTTGTAAGTAATTTTATATAGTTTTATACTTTCACATCATATTAAAATATCACAAGCCAGAGAAGAGGAAGTTGCAGTATTATACCTAGGAATTTAAACATTTAACTCCATCTGGGTATTGATGGATAGAGATAAGTTAAAGCAAAGCATCTTTCTTTTGGAAAGTGAGATCCCTTTATTTTATGTATCTAGAACAGAAGTTCACAAGGGTAGGAAACTGTGTTTTGTACGTCTCCATGTATGATGCAACTTAAAGGGCAATGAATTAGACTTACTGTTTACTTGAAGTACTTTCGTAATGCTTTTATATTAGAGGTCAGTTTCCAAGTTACATATATTGAGTTTTAAAAATACGTTTCATCCTTCAGAGTGCTAGTGGTTGGCACTGTGGCATGGTGGGTATAGCCACTGCCTGTGATGTTGATGTCCCCTATAGGCACTGGTTCATGTTCTGGCTGCTCCACATCTGATCCAGCTCTTTGCTAATGGTATGGGAAAAGCAATGGAAAGGGGCATGAGTGCTTCAGCACCTGCTACCCATGTGGGAGACCCAGCAGAAGCTCCTGGTTCCTGACTTCTGCCTGACTCTGCCATTTGGAGAGTGAACCAGTGAATGGGAGATCTCTCTGTCTTTAACCCCCTCTCTGTACTCTGACTTTCAAATCTTCAATATTTACAAAACCCCAACTGCTAATGTTACATTTGACATTTTCTTTCTCTTTTTTATAAATAATATGTGGGCATCTCACCCCATACACCAAACAGCAAGTCTGCAGTCGATACCAGTTGGGTTTGTGAATTTTTATTTTTTTTAAAGCAAACTATAAAAATTGTAACTTGATTGATAAATAAATCCATAAGGAGCAAGTAATTATCTGTGGTAAATTTTTAAATGATATGGAAATTTTAAATTTTTCTTCAATTGTGAAGTTGGTATGAGAAGGACCATCCCTATCACCATGTGTTAAAAAACTGTGACTAAAAATTAGTATCACTTTGTGATAAAAGTTGTTTTCCATTTTCATCATGTTTAGTACATTTGACTGTCTCTTAACTCCATTTTCTCAGATTTGTCCCATCGGATGAAAAGAAGAAACAGGGATGTCAACGAGAAAATGAAACACTAATACAGAGAAGAAAAGACCAAATGCAACCAGGAGGCACTGCAATTAGTGTCACAGTACCTTATAGAGTCGTAGACCAGCCCCTTAAACTTATGCCTCAAGATTGGTAAGATGGCTTTTATTGGTTTAAAATTAATTACTTTTTCTTTACTGTTAATTTTATTGAAGATGTATCAGATTTTATCATGGGTTCTAAATAGAAAGTATCTCTGAAAACTAGGTTAATGTGTGTGAATCTAATGTGTTATCACCATTGTTAACATTCTAGTAACACCCAAACATTATATTTTGCTTAAAAGAAACAGCACCATAACTTGTGAAGAAATTAGAGTAAAAAATTATTTCCACTTGTTCATTTGTTCCAGATGAGCTTTTAGAACAGAACAGGTTGGGGCCAGTGCTGTGGTGTAGAGGTTGAGCCTGCACCTGCGGTGCCAGCATCCCATATGTGCTCCGGACAGTGGCCTGACTGCTCCATTTTGAATCCAGCTCCCTGCACCCACCTGGGAGATCTGGAAAGAGGTGCCTGGCTTCTGGCTTTGGTCTGGCTCAGCCTTGGCCATTGAAGCCATTTGGGTAGTGAACCAGCAGATGGAAAATTCTCTCTCTCTCTCTATCTCTCTACCTAAAAAGAAATAAAAAAAGAGAATAGAACAAGTGGACTAATGTTACTTTAATGTATTTTAGTTTTTTGATTAGCAGAATTCAGGTTTTCTGGTAAGAAATAATAGTAATGACAATTATTTTAATTATAATGGAAGAATTAAATAAAACTTGTTATGATTAGTTTTTATATCATGATACAGCTCTTATTTATTTTTTTAAGAATTATTTATTTATTTGAAAGGCAGAGTTAGTCTTCCATTTGTTAGTTTGCTCCCCAAATGGCTGCAATAGCTGGGGCTGGTCCAGACCATGAGCAGGAGCCTGGAACTTCATCCTGGTCCCCAACATGGGTGGCAGGGGCACGAGTACTTGAGCCATTATATGCTCTTTTGCTAGGTGCAGTAGCAGGGAGTTGGATCAGAAGTGGAGCAGCTAGAACTTCAGGCAGCACCCATGTGGGTTGGCAGTGTTGCAGGTGGAGGAATAACCCACATGTGCTGGCTACAATGCTGGCCCTGATACAGCTCTTTTATTGCATTAAAATGTTCTTTTAAAAAATACTAAACTTTATAGTATGAGGTACCTATAAATTCATTCATTTGCATTGTCTTTAAGTTGTTTCATTGATCTGGGTTGGAGTAAAAATTCCAAGTCCACATATCTCTGATACAGAGAATATAACATGGTGTGTGATATGAAATTTACCTTTGAATTACTCATTACTTTTCAGACATTAAGAAGTCAAGTCATTAAGAATGTTAATATTTTATAAATTCACTAAAGAATAAAAGCTCCTTTTGTTATAATTCTTCCTGATACCTAGCAGATACTTTGAGTAATGTGTATCAAGTGAATAATATGAGAGCTTCAGATATGATGTTGCAAGCCAAGTAGAAAAGTTACACCATTTATATTTGCAACTATTTGTACAGAGTGATAATGCAGAGTGCAAGTGCCATCAGTGTGCTGTAAAATATTGCTGATGAATATGTGCTAGGACCGGTAGCCCTTGGTGTCACATGGCTTTGCTCTTTCATTTTAATTATCCTTTTCAAGAATTAATGGTGGGGGCCGGCGCCGCGGCTCACTAGGCTAATCCTCCGCCTAGCGGCGCCGGCACACCAGGTTCTGGTCCCGGTTGGGGCGCCGGATTCTGTCTCGGTTGCTCCTCTTCCGGGCCAGCTCTCTGCTGTGGCCAGGGAGTGCAGTGGAGGATGGCCCAAGTGCTTGGGCCCTGCACCCCATGGGAGACCAGGAGAAGCACCTGGCTCCTGCCTTTGGGTCAGCGTGGTGTGCCGGCCGCAGTGGCCATTGATGGCAGGCCACGCCGCTGCTCACTAGGCTAAGCCTCTGCCTGTGGCGCCGGCATCCCCGGTTCTGGTCCCGGTTGGGGCGCTGGATTCTGTCCTGGTTGCCCCTCTTCCAGTCCAGCTCTCTGCTGTGGCCCGGGAGGGCAGTGGAGGATGGCCCAGGTCCTTGGGCCCTGAACCTACATGGGAGACCAGGAGGAAGCACCTGGCTCCTGGCTTCGGATCGGCGGTGCGCCGGCGGTAGTGGCCACTGGGGTGGTGAACCAATGGAAAAAGGAAGACCTTTCTCTCTCTGTCTGTCTCTCTCTCTCTCTCACTGTCTAACTCTGCCTGTCAAAAAACAAAAAAAATTAATGGCAAGAAACATTATTCTGTTCCCCTGCCATTGTGAGACCAAAGTAGGAGCTAGATAACCTCTATCCAGCAAATTCTTTTTAGTTTGCTAAACTTTCACATTTTACCTTCAAAGACTTAAGCAGACTAAGAATTTTAAACTGATAGTCTTTTATGATAACTTCGATAGTTTCTATAGATCTTCATTTGAATAAAAGATAACCCTGGTTTAATATAGAGTATTTGTCTCTTGCCGTGGTTATCAAAATGTGGCCTGCAAGGCTTTAGACATTCCCAACACCCTTTCAGAGAATTTCCAGGTCAGAATGGTTGTCATGGTAACACTGAGATGGCTGTTGTTATTAATCCCACAGCAGGAACAGGAGCCTATCCAGTACCCAGGACCAGGATTCATTCTCCTGTCTTCCTGCCTTCTCTCCCTTTCCCTCCTTTCTCCCTTTCTCACATGTGGACTATTCTCTAGTGTGCCCATTTACTTCTGTGTCCTCATCTGCTAAATGGAGCTGTATAATAGTCATCTCAATTATTATTATTAATATAAAGAGAGCTGATTTCATGCACTCCCATACGTACAGTTCCAAGAAGACAACCACACTTCTCTCACTCCCCTGTTCACCACCAGCCCCTCACCCTCTCCATCCCTCCTCTCTCTTCATCAGTTTTTGCAAAGACATAATTTTAATCCACTCTATATTCAGAGGCTTAATTTGCCACTAATCACAATATTCAACAAATAAAAGAAGGAAGACAACTGTTCCGCAGGAGTATAAACAAGAGCTTAGAACAACAATCATATTCCAGAATGTCCATTTCATCCCTGTACATTCTTTTGTATTCAGTATTAACTGCCACTTATCAGAGAAAAAATGGGATATTGGTAGTTTTGAGACAGGCTTATTTCACTAAGCATAGTGGTTTCCATTTACATCCATTTCTTTGTAAAAGAATTTCATTAATTTTTATGGCTGAGTAGTATTTCATGGTGTTGTGTGTGTGTGTACATATACCACATTTTCTTTATCTAGATATTAGTTGATGGACATCTGGGTTGATTCCATATCTTATCTATTGTCAGTTGAACTGCAGCAAACATGGGGGCACAAATAATTCACATGCTGATTTCATTTCACTTGAGTAAATTCCCAGGAATGGGGTGGCTAGATCTTACATGGTAGATATATATTCAGATCTCTGAGGAATCTCCATACTGTCTTCAATAATGGTTCTACCAGTTTACATTCCCACTAACAGTGGATTAGGGTACCTTTTTACCTCACATCCTTGCCATCATTTATTTTTTTTTTAAATTTATTTTATTTATTTTAATTTTTTGACAGGCAGAGTGGACAGTGAGAGAGAGAAACAGAGAGAAAGGTCTTCCTTTTGCCATTGGTTCACCCTCCAATGGCCGCTGCAGCCGGTGCACCGCGCTGATCCGAAGACAGGAGCCAGGTACTTCTCCTGGTCTCCCATGGGGTGCAGGGCCCAAGCACTTGGGCCATCCTCCACTGCACTCCCGGGCCACAGCAGAGGGCTGGCCTGGAAGAGGGGCAACCGGGACAGAATCCGGTGCCCCGACTGGGACTAGAACCCGGTGTGCCGGTGCCGCAAGGCGGAGGATTAGCCTAGTGAGCCGTGGCGCCGGCTATTGTTTTTTGATCTTTGGATGATAGCTATTGTAACTGGATTGAGGTGAAACCTCATTGCAGTTTTCTGAGCCTTTTTTTCTTTCTTGTTTTTTTTTTTTTATGTGTCTGTTGGCCATTTGTATTTCATCGTTTGAAAAATGCCTGATCATGTCCTTTATCCATTTCTTAACTGGATTGTTTTGTTGTTGAGTTTCTTGAGTTCTTTGAATGAAGATGGTTTGTTAATATATGTAATATAGAATGCCTTCAATAGTAAATACTCACTGTGTGTTACTAATATAAACCATATTGTTAATGCTTTGTTCCCTCCTCTTTAGTTGTAGTCTTGAACTGTGTATTGCACTATTTACAGATTCTCAGTTTAATGGAATGTTGTACAAAATCATGAAATATGAGGGCATAGAAAAATAAAATATTTAAGATGTGTTTGAATTTAAAATTTTTCTCCTGTGAAACCATCTTTTTCAGTTAATGGGTGAGCAGCTATTCTCATTGGAGGGAAAGCAAAAGGACTAAATCAGTCACACAGAATTATTGTATATACAGTTATATTAAAAAGCTTGGGTACAAAAACAAATGTATGGGAAGTACAGCAGTCATTAATGCGCTCTAAACGCTGATATATTGGAAAGTTAAGGTAGTGTATTTACTGTATTCACCTCCTAAGAGGGTTGGTAGGAGACCCTTTTCTTAGCGATTTCCAGTAACTGAAGCTTAGGACTGAGACGCTCTTCCCACCACCCTCTCTTCATCCCCTCATCTCTTTGCAGGGACCGGGTCGTAGCAGTTTTTGTACAGGGTCCTGCTTGGCAGTTCAAAGGTTGGCCATGGCTTTTGCCTGATGGATCACCGGTTGATATATTCGCTAAAAGTAAGATTTTATTTCTTCTAATGTTTATCTACACTAAGTGTTGTTACTTTAAAAGAATGAGCCATCTTTGATTGTATTTTAAAGTATTTTAAAGTATCACTCTTATGCAACTTACTTAATGTTAACTTTTTAGCTCTGTATTTGTTTGAAAACCTTTGAAATTGTACAATATTTTCTGTGTAGTTTTATCTAAAAGCAATTATTGCCTATACAATAGCACTATTTTTTGGTCACTAAAAAATCATTAATACTGCTGCATATCCACATGTTTTCATTACAGTGGACTGCCAGTTTTTAACTGGATTGACTTTGGCTGAGTAGATGATGCATCTGTATGTTATAGTGCCATATGTATTTACCAGCTATCCCATCATCTCTCTCTCTTTTTTTTTTTTTTTTTTTGGTTAAAGATTTATTTATTTATTTGACAGTCAGAGTTACACAGAGAGAGACCATCCACTTGTTCACTCCCCAATTGGCTGCAATGGCTGGAGCTGCGCCGATCAGAAAGCAGGAGCCAGCAGCTTCTTCTGGGTCTCCCACACAGGTTCAGGGGCCCAAGGACTTGCGCCATCTTCTACTGTTTTCCCAGGCCATAGCAGAGAGCTGCTGCTATGGAAGTGGAGCATCTGGGTCTCGAACCGGCACCCATATTTGTTGCTGGCACTTCAGGCCAGGGCGTTAACCTGCTGCGCCACAGTGCTGGCTCCTATCCCATCATCTTAATAAATGATTGTGTATCATTGCATTTCTTATTTCATTCAGATCTCAGTAAACGGTCCTATTTGAAATACACCGCACTTCATTTTAATTGCGCTCTAAGCGGTTTTATTTTCTTGGTAGCACTTAATTATTGCTTGACCTCACCTAGCTTTTACATTCTTATAGTGTAAGTTCCACTTTGAAAAGATGCCTTTTTTGCCTCACTCATCATTTTGGCTTCAGCACAGAGGACTTACAGGCACATACCTGTTTAAAGGATTATTTCATGTGGCTCATATTTTTATTAAATATGGTGGCCTTCAAAAAAGTTCTGAAGGGGCAGAACACATTGTAGTATCTGGATTCAGTTCCTGGCTCTGTCCTTTTTTTTTTTTTTTTTTTTTGACAGGTAGAGTTAGACAGTGAGAGAGACAGAGAGAAAGGTCTTCCTTCTGTTGGTTCACCCCCCAAATGGCTGCTGCAGCCAGCATGCTGCGCCAATCCAAAGCCAGGAGCCAGGTGCTTCCTCCTGGTCTCCCATGCAGGTGCAGGGCCCAAGCACTTGGGCCATCCTCCACTGCCCTCCTGGGCCACAGCAGAGAGCTGGACTGGAAGAGGAGCAACCAGGACAGAACCGACGCCCCATCTGGGAGTAGAACCCCGGGGTGCTGGCGCCACAGGCAGAGGATTAGCCAAGTGAGCCGCGGCACCGGCCCTGGCTCTGTCTTTTGACTTCAGCTTCCTGCTAATGCAGACACTGAGAGGCAGTGGTAAATGGTTAGGTAGTTGCTTTTCTGCCACCTTCATGGGAGACTTTTCAGCTCCTGGCATTGGAATGGCATAACCAAGAACACTCTGAGCAGGTGGCGGGTGAACCGGCTGATGGGATTGCACATGCAGGTATGCATGTTTCTCTCTCTCTTTCTCTCTCTCTCTCTCTCTCTCTCGTGTGTGTGTGTGTGTGTGTGTGTACCTCCAATAATTTTTGAAAGAAGTTTATGGAAATCCATATTATGAAAAAAGTATGCATGGATTTTAAGATTTTTTTCACCAAAGTAAACTCATTCTAACTTATTACAACATGTCTGAACAAGATCTAGCTTAAGACACTGAGGAGGATAAAACATCAGTTTGAAACGAGCTCCTGTTAGAGCAACATGAATTATTTTAAAATGGAAGCAAAAACAAGCATCAAATTGATGATGCCTACGTGGAAGAATGGGGAAGCCTCTGCTTATAAAAGTTTATGGAGACAAAGCCCAAAGAAATCAGCAGTTTACAAATGGATTACTTGATTTAAGAGACAGGGTGGTGTAGGAGATAAAGCTCAAAGCTGCAGACCATCCACACTGATTTGTGAAGAAAAAGTTTGATCTTCTTTGTGTCCTAATTCAAGAATACCAGTGATTAACAACAGCAACAATTGCCAACAGCACAAACATCTCTGCTGGTTCTGCTGACACCACTCTGACTGAAAAATTAAAGTGGAGCAAACTTTTCCGCTTGATGGATGTCAAAACTGTTGCATGCTTGTCAACTGCAGACAAGAGCAGAGCTCTCAGTGGAAAATTTTAAACAAATAGGACTGAGATCCTGAAGCATTTCTTGGAAGAAATATGACTTTACCATCATAATTCTGAAGACAGCACAGTCAGAGTACTGTCTACCAAGAGCTGGAAGTGGGGCCATCACAGCAAAAGCAAACCAGTCAAGAACCAAGGGCATGGCAACAGGTTTTTGGGATATGCATTGCTTTTTGCTTATTGACTTTCTGGAGGGTCAAAGAATAATAACATCTACTTACTGGGAGAGTGCTTTGAGAAAGTTAGCAAAAGGTTTGGCAGAAAAATGCCTGGAAAAGCTCCACCAGGGAGATCTTTTCTGCTAGCACAGTATTCTTGCTTGTTCCTCACCCTAAACAATGGGCAGTTTTGCCAGAGTTTTGATGGGAGATCTTTATTTATTTATTTGAAAGGTGGAGTTAGAAGGAGAGATGAGAGAGATCTTCATCCGCTGGTTTACTCCCCAGATGGCTGCAAGGACCAGGGCTGGACCAGGCCAAAGCTAGGAGCCAGGAACTTCATCTGGGTCTCCCAAGCACTTGAGCCCTTCTCCATTGCTTTCTCAGACACATTAGCTGGGAGCTGGATGGGAAGTAGAGCAGCCAGGATTTTAACAACCCAGTTTTTCCTAACAGTGTACTAATTTCAATAGATACTGCTGAAGCTTGAAGGTCCTAACCACTTGTTGTCTTTTCACCTTCTCATTTTTAAAAATGAATTCTAATTTTACTGATATTGATGATTCTTTATTACTTCTAAAACTTAAATGATCCACAAACAGTTCATAAACAGAAAGTTAAAAATATACAAGGATCGATAGAAGGGCAGTTTTAATGCAGGTAAACATAATTGATGTGTTTCATGTATCTGAAAAGTATTGAACTTGAGTGGGTTATTGAATGGTATTGTAACAAAAAGGATTAGAATGTCTTCAAGCTGTCAGTGATTTTCTTCAGTGAGGTGTTCTTTCTTCCTCAGCTTTCCTTTCTCTGGCTCCTTTCTGAGAGCATTTATAAATGCTCCTGGCCCTTCCATCTGAGAACAAGAAAGCAAAACTTTTACCATTGACCTTGTCCTTTCCCTGTGGCTACTCTCCTTCCCTTTGACAACTCTTTGGAAAGAATTGTCTCCACTAACTCACTTCCTGTTCAATTCTCAGTCCACTGTAGCCTGTGTTTTGCTCTCCACTAAAACTGTTCTTACCGAAGTCACCAGTGACCAAGTATTGGATGCTTTTGACCCCTTTTCAGAATTGGATTCCATTGATTTCATTTCTTTTTTAAAGTTCTTTTCCATCTACTTGCTACTCTGTATCTTGCATTCCCTTGCATTCCCTCTGTCTAGCTAATAAAGCTATATTTTCCCATTTCTCTTCCCCCTTAATTCAGAATGCTTTCTCAAGATCTAGTGGCTTTCACTTTTAGCATCTGTATTTTCTTATTCTAAAGGTTGTTTCTCTGTCTTTATATTCTGTGACTGCTATCTCTCCAACTACCAGATGATTTCTCCATGATACTCCATTGGTACATCAGATTCACCCAGTTCCTAATGGAGTTGGTTGTCAGACTCTTCCTCATTCTCAAACCATTTCTTGTCCTCAATTAATTTTTTTTCTGTAATTTCTCCAAGCCAGAAACTTAGAAGTGTTTTATCTTGTGAGCTCTTAGCTCCCTTTCCTTCTGGTATCCTGCCCTTTTCCCACTTAGAACACATATGAAAATGATAGCTTCTATGTAGCATAGGGTTATATAAAAATATTGTGTTTTCTATTATATTGCATAATTATGATAATAAAGTACAAAGTTTTAGAGAATATAATAAATCTTGAATTGCATGATACTCATGAAATATTTTCAAAATTATAATGAGAAGTTTGAATTTCTAACTAGATGTGACTCTTTATATCTGAAGTGACTATAGATTTTTGATCAAGATTTTTTAGTGTTGATTTCTTTCAATTCTTGGTTGTTTCTGCTGAGAAATTTCTTTTAACAGTATTCTATATTGTTATTTGTCTGCATTGTATCTAAATATTATTCAATAGGGCACCTCTTGTATTTAATTTCCTTTGTTTGCCACTCCCCCCCTCTCCTGCCCCAGTGCTTTAAGGATTCATGAAGTTTGCCAAAAAGAGTAATTCTGAATTGTGTGAATATTTTACATTAGTATTTGTTATACCACCAAACAGCTTCTTCTGTTGTATTTTCAGAGGCTTACAATCTTTAATTCCTTTTCTTAATAGAAAGATGTTGTATAATATGTTAATTAAGTTTGCTTGACATCATTGCTTCATGCAAATACTTTGGCTGTTGACATAAACCTTCCTGTGTTTCTTTGTCATGACTTAAACTTTTTGAATTCTGATATCCCAGCTGTAGTTTACAAATTTGTCTATGCTGGTAGACACCAATTAAAGCCATGGACATTATTAAAGGAGATTATAGGACTTTGACTTCAGGTAACCTTTTTTTAAAAAAATATTTATTTATTTAATTTGAAAGAGCTGCATAGGGGGAGAGAAAGAGATACTAAGATCTTTGATTTGCTTGTTCACTCCCTAGATGGCTGCAATGGTCAGGGCTGAGCCAAGAGCCAGGAAATTCACCCAGGTCTCCGACATGGGTTGCAGGGGCCCAGACACGTGGGTCCATCTTCCACTGCTTTTCCCAGACTTTGAGCAGGGAGCTGAATTCAGAAGTGGAGCAGCCAGGACATGAACCAGTGCCTGTATGGGATGCTGGTGTTGTACAAAGTGGCTTAAGCTGAAATATGTGTAAAAAGAATGATTTAAAGCAAATCTGTTAAATATTTTTCATGCATATAAATAGTATTGTGAAAATAAGTTTTTTTTTTTTTTTTTTTTTTGGACAGGCAGAGTTAGACAGTGAGAGAAAGAGACAGAAAGAAAGGTCTTCCTTCCATTGGTTCACCCCTCAAATGGCCGCTACAGCTGGCACGCTGCGCTGTTCCAAAGCCAGGAGCCAGGTGCTTCCTCCTGGTCTCCCATGCGGGTGCAGGGCCCAAGCACCCGGGCCACAGCAGAGAGCTGGATTGGAAGAGGAGCAACCGGAACAGAATCCGGCGCCCCAACCAGGACTAGAACTTGGTGTGCCGGCGCTGCAGGCAGAGGACTAGCCTAGTGAGCCACGGCGCTGGCTGAAAATAAGTTTTTTGAGCTCTATATAACACATAGCCCGGTTAATAAGTTAATATAACAAATTAAAAATGAATAATTTGTATTCTACAAAGAAAGTTCTAAAAGCAAATAATTTAGAAATAACTTTCTTTCTGGGCACAAGTTGTTATTACTCTTTTGTAATTTGATAGACAGAAAGTGGGAGAGTACCTATCTGCTGGTTCATTCCCCAAATGTCCACAGTGACGGGGAGTGGGACAGCCCAAAGTCAAGAGCTAGGAATTTAATCCATGTGAGTAGAAGGAGCAAACTCCTTGAATTTTTCATGCCTCCCAGCATATCTGCATTAGCAGGAAGCTGGAATCATGAGCTGGAGCCAGGAATTGAACGTAGGCATTTTGATATGGAATGCAGGCCTCTTAACCTCTAGGTAAATTGTATACCTCATAAATTACTCATTTTAAATTTCCATCAAGAGTTGAATTTGAATTAATTCTTATAGAACAGGTACTCCGTAAAGAAGCTATCAAAAAGTTTTACCAAATCAGTTGTTTTCTCTTCAGAAACCTCTAATACTAGGTGATGGTAATGATAACAATAATAATATGGTAGTTAAAAAATAGAAGACGTTTAGGGGAAAAAAGCTAAGTGTTTTACAAATACACATGCAAAACAAAAGCTCCATTGATGTAAACTGATTGCAAAAACAGTAATAAACTAGCTGGCATGCTTCAGCTGGATAATCACAGAAAACAATTCTGTTATCAATACCTGGATTTACCTTTTAAAAATGAAAGCCATATCATTTCACCTTCTTCCTTTAATTTCCCAATGTCTTCTTAATACATTTGTAATAAAACCCAGATTTCCAGGGCTGGCACTGTGGCATAGCAGATAAAGCTGCCGCCTGTAGTGCTGGCATCCCATATGGGCGCCAGTTCTAGCCCTGGCTGCTCCTCTTCCAATCCAGCTCTCGGCTATGGCCTGGGAAAGCAGTAGAAGATGGCCCAAGAACCCATGTGGAAGACCCGGAAGAAGCTCCTGGCTCCTGGCTTCGAATCGGCACAGCTCAGGCCATTGTAGCCAACTGGGGAGTGAACCAACGGGCTCCTGGCTTCGAATCGGCACAGCTCAGGCCATTGTAGCCAACTGGGGAGTGAACCAGCGTATGGAAGACCTCTCTCTCTCTCTCTGCCTCCTTCTCTCTCTGTGTAACTCTTCAAATAAGTAAATCTTAAAAAAAATAAATAAAATCCAGATTTCCTATACAGTAGCTGAGAAGATTCTACATAAAGACCATTGCCTACAATGAAAGTTTCATTTGTTTATTTGAAAGACTTGTTTCCAAGGTCTTTGCAAGACAACATTTCCCATTATCTATTTCTAGATAACTTTCTCATTGAGTTTTTCCTCAATAGCCTATCTAAAGTAACTCCCTACACACTTTTATTATATCCACAGCTTGCTTTATTTTTCCTCAGTAGCAATTATACCACCAGAATATTGTATATTTATCTTTTGAGCAATTACCTTGAGGATGGTCATTACTGTGTTCTGAGTACCTAGGCTGTTTAAGCTATGTAGTAGACACTTGCTGAATGTTAGATACACCTTTGAATGGATTTTTTTTTTTTTTAACTTGAAAGACAGTTGCAGAGAGAGAAGTTCACTGCCCAAATGGCCGTAATGGCCGGAACTGAGCCAATCCAAAGCCACAAGCTAGGTGCTTCTTCCATTTCTCCCATGTGGATGCTGGATCCCAAGGACTTGGGCCATCCTCTATTGCTTTCCCAGGTGCATTAGCAGGGAGCTGGATGGAAAGTGGAGCACCTGGGACTCGAACTGGTGCCCATATGGGATGCCGGCGCTGCAGGCCAGGGCTTTAACTCACTGCACCGCGCCTCTGGTCCCCCTCTTCATCATTTCCTGTTCATCTCCCAGATCATCTTTTGAATTATATTAAACTGATAATATGTTAAGGGAAAGCATTTATTCTTGTTAGAAATTCCTGGCTTATAGAAGTTAATAATGGGAACATTTTCTGTAGCTTGGCTCTAGAAGTCCTTTTATTCTCAGAGGGTAGAGCATTAATTTTCCAGTTTTCTTATAAACTGTATCTTCTACCCTATTGAAGAAACACATCTTTTTATCCACTAGATTACTAAATTGTATTGTTAGTGTTTACTAAACCTTCTAAACCTTTTGTAATGAATTCCCCATGTCGCTTAAAAGACGAACTTTCATACGGGCTAGTCCAGCATTGTTCCAAACCTCTGTTGTTTTACTGTCTCTTACCCTTTCCTGTATTACCTTGAGTGGTCCAGTTCTCTTACATTTACTTTTTCAGTTCCTAGATTAAATCATGTTCTGTTGGGCATGCTCCTTCTGGTGTCTGGCTCACTTCCCTGTGCTTGCTTAATTCTTACCTGACCTTTACGCTTTCGGTTAGCCTGCCTTTTATGAATTCATGATCTGGGTAAAGGTATTCTTTTATTGTTCTGTGGTAGCTTCTTTTGTACTGTATTTGGATAGGTTTTTTTCTTACTCTCTTTTACTGTTCCAAAAACGTTTTATCTTACTCATTTCAGTCCTCAGTGGCTGGCATGTATAAACTATCTCTAAGCATTTCTTGAACATTTTTGAGGATACTACAGTATATAGCATTTGCTTAAAAGATCACTTGATGAACAATGTTGTGTCAGTTGATAGAAGAAATACTGAAATTTCTTTGTTTTAGTTTTCTGGTTAATATTGGTGTTTTATTCTGTAAAGTGTTCTTATAATTTTAATACTACTTTGAATATGAAACCTTGTTTGTCTCTCCATCCCCCATTTAGTTAAAGCGTTCCATCTCAAGTATGATGAAGTTCGTCTAGATCCAAACGTGCAGAAATGGGATGTAACAGTGTTAGAACTGAGCTATCACAAACGTCATTTGGATAGACCAGTTTTCTTACGGTTCTGGGAGACACTGGATAGGTAATTCTGACCCTAACATATGCTTGCCTGTGCTTGTTGTAGTAATTTTCTTATCTCTTCAGTTAATTTTCAGTTATTTAGAGTTGTGAACCATATTCTCCAATTCCCTTCTTCAAATATTGGCTAATTTGATCTTCAATACCTAATTCGAAAATATCTTTGATATATTGACTGTTTAGAAATGGGTAGATGAAGGGTTTATAGCTTTATAGGGAAGGAATATTAAACTTGGAGTCAGAAGTCTTGGTTCTGTTGAACCGTGTGACCTCTCTGAATCTCAGTGTCCATCCAGAGAGCTTAGATTAAGTGATTTCTATGTTTTTTTGCGAGCACTGAGAGGTCTCTGACTCTGGATTTATTTGGTCATGGGAAATCCATGGTAGAAATAAGTTTTTAAAATTTTTTGTAATGTACTAGTGCAATAGAGTTTTAGAACCATTTACAATAATAACGGTTTGTCATTGGCATATTTAAGAATATCATATGAGCATAGTACCCTGAATCTGTTGTTTTCTTTGTGATGGTCCTTCAGATCTGTAATTTTCTTGGTATAAATCTCACTTGTTTTGTAGGTTTCCTCAAAGTCAGAGGTGATAGATATTTTAAACTGATAATGTGTTAAAGGAAAACATTTATTCCACCTGGAAGCTCCTGGATTATGGAAGTTAATATTGGGAACATTTCCTCTAGTTTGCTTTAGAAGCAGTTATATTCTCAAAGGGTACAGCATCAATTTTGTAGCTTTTTCAGAAAACAAAACACTTTGTTTCTTTGTATTAAGAAGTGTAAATATATTTTTACATGTAATATTCTAAAAATTCTAAAATTCCTGTAATCATTATAACCTATTATAATATTGTTTTCCAGATACATGGTGAAGCATAAATCCCACTTGAGATTCTGAATTGCTTGGTTCTTCCTTTTCTGAAAATCTGGATTAAGAAACATGGATACATATACCTTGATCTAAAGACTAAGACTCACTCAAGCTTTATGAATTTATTAAGAACTTAACAAGTGAAGAAGGTCACAGATTGATCTTTTTATAGGACCTTATTTGATGCTTTGTGCTTCAAAGGGGTGATGCTTGTCATCCATTTAAGCAAACTTTTGGCTTACAACTATTTTTTTAATATTAGCCTTCTAGTCTGTAATTGAAATTGTATATTTTGATAGAAGTTTTTTCTCTATTGGTTATATTAGCATTACTTAAAACTTGTTTCTTTAGGAAATAGATGCAGGATATAAATGTGTGTATATTTAGAGGTTTAAGGCTCTCCAAGCCATCTTGCTTCTGATTTTTCATTGCTCTATGAATTCCTTTTACTGAAAATGCTATGTTATGAATGGTGTTAAATTTTAGTCTTGGGAACTTAAAAAAACAAGCAAAGGGATGTGACTATTTTGAATGAATCAAAATGTCAACTTGTAAGTCTACTCTATCTACATTTATTCTATTTAAAAAGGAATAATGAAAAATCAAGAATAATTCTTCAATTTTGGTTGAACTGTTCAGCCTTTATATCAGACTTTACCTTACAAATGAATACAGTTCATGAATGTACATTCTTCTCCCTGACTTTGGTGATTTCAAAACTTAGAATGATATATTTCTATCTGTGATATCTTTCCACTTGGAAAATCTCAAGACACAGATTAAAAACTTAATAGGCTGTACTACTTTTTATTTTGGGAGCCAGAGTATGAGTTGGGGAAAGGATTATGTGTCAGCTGTATTGCAGTGTAACTTTAACTTCCTTATCTTTTCTCCAAAGTCCACCTTTGATTCTTATTTTATATGGTATTGGATTTCCAGTCTTCTATTTCTGGCATGTCAGTTTTGGTGTTCTTATCTTCCATTATCCCTAAATATTGATAAACTCCAGACACCAAAGAACACATTTGCTTAATTAAGTGTCTGAACAGAAACAAGATAAAAACACTGGTATTTTTATGTGTGTATTCAATATGGTATAAAATATAAAACCTATATTTTAACTTAGTAAAATATTTTACTATTTCTCTACAGAGTGTTGTATCCAAGGTATAATGAATGACCATTTTCCTTGAGTGTTGATCTCGTCTGTTACTACTTAAAAGGAACTGATGATTTTATTCCCCAAAATTGTTTTTGCAACCAGAACTGTTGCTGTTCATTGAATCATAGGTCAGTTTTTTTCTCCACTTTTTTCCCCAATGATTCTTTCTTAGGTCTGTCTGTCTTTCTATCTGTTGATCGATCGATCGATCGATAGATAGATGTAAACATTTAGCTCCTTATGTTTTCATTGGACTACCTGTCCTCTTTTTGGAATTTAATGATATCATTAAATGAGAAGAAATTATTATTTATTTTTTAAGTAGCCAAAAAGTTCCATACTTGTAGTAAATAGAAAGATATTTATTCATATGGAATTTATAAGGTTCTTGAGAAGAAAAGCAGTCAGCATTTTAAAATGTTAGATTTTAGTATATTTGTAAAGTTTGAACCAATTCTATCCCCATTTTCTTCCCTTCTCTGCATTCCCTCTTCATAAAAGAAAACTCAAATTTGTTAACATTAGACCATGATGAAATAGTTAAGGACTAGAATCTACAAGATTTCAGTTGAAGATTACTTGTTTAGACTACTACAAATAGAAATTAACTACCTTTCCATGAAGATTTTTGGTATTTATATATGAAATTTGCTTGATACAGAATATGGTTAAAATTAACATCTACTTTGAACAGGGTTTATTTTTCTATTTTGAATTTGCCTTATGTATATTCAGAGGCTCCTGGAAATGCTGTACAGAACATTAGGAAAAGTACAAATATGCTATACCATATATTTTAAAATTGGTCTCTTCGTATGAACTTGGTTTCTTATTTCTTTTCTGCAGTTTAATTCCTTATTTACGTTCACGTATTTAATTTCATAACCATTAATTCTAAAAAAGAAGCAAGCAAACAAAAACAAAACTTCAAGCCAATCACTATTCATTCTAAGACTCAGTCCTACATTAGCACCTAACACAGTGCCTTGCACACAGTAGGCATTCAGTAACTACAGATGCATGAATGAATGTTGTATTTTCAGAGTAACTGATGTTTTTCAAAACAGTAATTTGTACTTGGTCTTGAAGTATGATTATAACAATTACAGGGAATGAAGCATAAATATTTTAATAGAAATGAAGTACCCATTAATAAACAACTTACCATAATTTATTATTAAATGGAGATACTCTTGTCTGGTCCATCTATAAAGATGCCTCTGTTTTCTTTACACGTAAGATACTCTTATGAGTCAGGTAAAAGTAAGAAGCCTAGAGTCTGCGTGTAGTAGCCGTTAACCCTGGCTGCACAGTAGAGTCATTTGGAGGGATAAAAACATACTTTTTGGAATGCTGATTCTGATGTAATTTGTCTGTAATGAGAGCTGATCAGCAGTGCTTTTCAAAATTTCTCCAGATAGTTTTAATGTGCAAGAAGGATTGAGTACCAATGGTTTGTTGTTGAAAACAATACCAGTATTAAATGTATTTCCTCCTCCTCTTCCTCCTGCTACTTGTGTATGTGTGTTTGTGTGTGTGTGTCTATATTTTGCACTAGATCATACCCTTATTGGTGATATTGGCCTACATACATACCATATGACAAATTCAAATCTTAATTATTTATTTAATATAGAAGGAGTATTTTCTTGTTTTAGTATTTAAGTGATGTTTAATATATTTCATGACTGACTGGTGTTATAGTTGATGGTTTGTTTTCTGTGTGTCCATACCCTTTAATAACTTTGTTTTTAGCAGCAGAACAACAGCAATCCATGTAGAAATAACTAATTTATAATGAGGAAAATCTCTTTTAAAATGTAGAAAGAAGTAAAATATTAATTTCCTATCTACCATACAGAATGAGACAGTACTTATAAAAGAAAAATACGCTTTTTAATTGATCTACACAGAAAAGTAAAAATTACTCTAAATTCATTACCTAAAAACAATTAAGGGAATATTTTTCCTAAGTAAAACATTTTTTTTGTGATTCCTAACAAAACTATAGTGATGACGTTCTTTTCTGACGGGTGAGTGGGAGGGACTTTGTTAAACTAATAATGTAGTATATAAAATTCTTTGAGGCTAGCAGTGTATTCATAAAACTACAAACAGTAATTGCAGAACTGGTCAAAATTAATGGCTTAGAAAGCAGCTTTAAACTTTGTGTTTTGAAATTGCTCATTAAACGTAAATCACAACTGAAGTAGAGAACTTTTGTTGTTAATTTTTTTCAGAGAACTATATTATAATATCACACACATACTTTTAAAAAAGATTGTTGTATCTGGTTAACATTCATGTAGAATGCTGAGGAAAAATGATTTATAAATGCCATAGGAATTTTTAACTGAAAAGTTGACAGCTGCTGTTTTTTTTTTTTTTTCTATAAAAAAGGACAACATGAAAATCAAATTGAGTTTACATTAGTTTTTAATATTACCAGACTGAATTTCTACTATTCACTTTGCTTTGGGATTCATCTGGTGATTCTAGTGTTAGAAGTAAAGGGGGGAATAAACTACTGAATTTGATTTAAAATAAGGACTGGATTAGGAATTTTTGAAATGCCATATCCTGTATGTTCTGGCATATTCATTGCTACATTTAGACATACTGACCTCAGTGTTGTTTCCATACTCATATGATAGAATAATGACTAAGGAAAAGTTGAAAATGTGTAATAGATATATAAGGAATTATATTTAGTAAATACACAATAAGTAATATTTTAAGTTTATTGATTTCTTTTGGTTTATGTGTATTATTTTGGCTAGGTAGTATTCATGAGAGTATTTTGGAAGTTAAAAATATGTGCCATTTACTGAAGTGTGTGATAAACATTTTTATATGAGTAAAGTTAATGAAATAAAACTAATTTCATTGCCAAAATTCAAAAAGTGGGGTGATAATATGTCAAATGTTAGCAAATGATCTCCCTCTCTTTTGCCCAGGATTTTTGTGTGCCCTTAAGTTCCATTTCTGCCCACTTTACATGTACTGAAAGTTACTTAACCTGCAAGTGTGATTATCATGCTTAGTAAGAAGCACAGCTCCTTTACCTGGGGTAGACACTGGCAGTGATTGTTAACCACTGTTGGTAATACTTCTTAAGCAAAATGGTTCTTGAATATAATGTAAGTTTGGGCCACTGTGTGGCTTGATGAAATGTTCTATACAGTCTGATTTTATCTCAGCTGGCTTTTCAATTTTAGGTTTCATTGTAAATAGAACATTTGGCAGTACTTTACATTGAGAATCTTGGGGATATTTCCACCCTCCTGCTGTTTACCCAGCTCTCTCTCCAAAAGGCTGCAACTGTGTGGTAGGTTGGGATGGTGTCTCTACATGAAGCGGTTCTTGAGATTATCAGGCAAAATATTTCTGTTTTGGTAATAAATGAAATACAAGTACTTATTTTGAAAACTAATGAGGTAAATTCATTTACAGTCTTTAAGTAATGTTGAGACTCATAAAGGTAAATAAATCATAAAAGAATTCATAAAAGTAGCAAACTACATGTTTTTCTGAACTAGAAATTCTGTTGTTTTCAAGTTTCCTATTATAATAGGATTTAGAATATATGCTGGTAAATTTTATTACCTTTACAGTTTAAGCATCATTTTTTTTTTTAATATTTATTTATTTATTTGAAAGAGTTACACAGAGAGAGGAGAGGCAGGGCGGGGGGGCTCTTCCTCCGCTGGTTCACTCCCCAGATGGCTGCAACGGCCAGAGCTGTGCCGATCTGAAGCCAGGAGCCAGGAGCTTCTTGTGGTTTCCCACGTGGGTGCAGGGGCCCAAGCATTTGGGCCATCTTCTGCTTTCCTAGGCCATAGCAGGGAGCTGGATCAGAAGTGGAGCAGCCGAGTCTTGAACCGGCGCCCGTATGGGATGCCATTGCTTCAGGCCAGGGCGTTAACCTGCTGTGCCACAGCGCCAGTCCCAAGCATCCTGATTTTAATATTTTATACTTTCAAAGCAAATTGTTCTTCCATGTAGTCAACCATTAACAGTGTCAGTGTATTAGTGGTCCCAGTAATTACACATGAATTTTTAGCAAAAGTATTTTTATTTTTTTAAGGATTTATTATTTTATTTTATTTCTTTGAAAGACAGTTACAGAGAGAATGTAGACAGAGAGGTCTTCCATCTGCTGGTTCACTCCTCAGATGGCTGCAGTGGCCAGAGCTGTGCCGATCTGAAGCCAGGAGCCAGGAGCTTCTTGTGGTCTCCCACACAGGTGCAGGTGCCCAAGGACTTGGGCCATCTTGTACTGCTTTCCCATACAATAGCAGAGAGCTGAATCAGAAGAAGAGCAGCTGGGACTAGAACCGGTGCCTATATGGGATGCCGGCACTGCAGGCTGGGGCTTTAACCCGCTGAGCCACAGTGCTGGCCCCTATTTTATTTTTTAAAGATTTATTTATATATTTGAATGAGTTCACTCCCCAGATGGCTGCACCAGCCGGGACTGGGCCTAGCTGAAGCTGGGAGCCAGGAGCCTCGTCCAGGTCTCCTGTGTATGTGCAGAGGTCCAGGTTGGGCCATCCTCCACTGCTTTTCAAGGCCATAGCAGATAGCTAGCTGTATTGGAAGTACACGAACTGGCACCCATATAGGATGCCAGCACGTCAGGCAGTGAGTTTACCCACTATGCCACAATGCTGGTTCCCCCCCAAAAATGCCATCCTCTGTGGCTTCCCAGGCACATTTGCAACAAGGTAGATCAGAAGTGGAATAGCTGACTCTTTGATCTCCAGTATGGCATCCAGGATCACAGGCAGTGGCTTAACCACACTGCCAGCCCAACAGATTTCTCTTTAATGAGGAATTTAATGGGTCATATTCAAACTTAACTTTCATCAGTTCCTAAGTGTCCACTGGATTTGTATTTGTATCCTGCCTTTGGCGTTTCTTTGTTCATCTGCTCTTGGGTGAGTAGAATATGTAAAGCATGTGTTTTAAATGCTGTTTAATTATTTTAAGGCTAAAAGGTGCTGGTTTTAAAATATGAGGGTACTTGAAAGTTTTTGAGAAAAGTGTATTTTAAAGAAACTGCATGGATTTCTGAAATTTTTTGAACCGAGTAGTTATCATTTAATTCCGTTTTCCACAGACTTTTTGAAACACTCCTGTAACAGCATGTTTCCAAAAAAACTCTTAGCCTCTCATTTTCTAAAATATTTTCCCTTTTCTATTTTATTGTGTAGTGATCAGCATTTATGGTGAGTTATGAGACTTCCCTCTTGGTTCTCTTCAGTGGCCGTATCAATGCCATGAAGTGGCTTTGGAGAAGGCTGTAGTTGAGTCTGTTTAGTAGTTATTTGTAGATCCCTTGGCACAGAATTATAGCTTATGACTCGTTCTCACACAGACAAAGCTGATTTATGTTACAGAACTAATGTCAGTAATAGCTAAGACCACAGTGAAGCAGGAGACATCTGAGAGGTTCAGTGTCTTTTGGATTGCACAGTGCTTCATTTGCTAAAAAATTCCAACTGGGAACACATTGGGTCACACGGTGGTGATTTCATCAGTGACATGCAGAATGTGTGCTCTCAAGAGTACTGCCTTCATGGAGCTTACAGTGTTCACCAGTAAATGTGATAGCATCTATGTCTCTTTGTTAAACTGATAGATAAATTAGACATCTTTCCTTACAGTGGAACTGTTTGAAAGTGTTAGCAAGTCTCTATGTAATGGTTGTCAGCTTGCTCATGGTATATTCAGTTGATTGACACAGTTGAGCATCACTAGTTCATGGCAGTTTTAACTATCAAACGGTTTAAAATATGCATATTCTTGGATAATAGGTTTTTATCCCATAGTACACCTCTCGATCCAATAAGTATAAGGGTCACTAATGAAACAGAGCAGAGGAACATTGAGATAGCTACTAAAGCAACTGATCTGGGAATCTGAGGAGAGAAAAATATGTGGGAAGTCGGAGTTAATGGGAAAATGTCATTTGATTTGTAGTGTGCTGTATGCTTTTTGGGGTTGTGGTCCTGAATTGAAGTCAGGCAATCATTGTAGGGTTTTTCTCTGACATTCAGCTGCCTGCTTGCAGGCACAGAAAATTGCGCTTAGATTTTTAACTATTTTGATGGAAGTAAAAGTCAAGGGAAGGTGTTTGCAAGGTGATGCTGGTGGTACAGAAGCACAGTGTCTAAGCTGCTTACAGAATGAATGGGAGGGGTTGGTGGGCGGCAGGGGAGTGGCTGGCACTGTGCCTCTAACTGGATGTGTCAGCGAAGTGAGAGGAGCTGGTCAGAGGATGGCAAACGGGAAATCAGATTGTTAGTGAGAAAAAAGTCCGGGCCCTGGAACTGACTGAGACCGAGTGGGGAGAGGTGATCTTTGAGGACTCTAAGATGTGTGGGGCCACAGTTACTCAAGTGAGTAAATAGCACGGTGGGCCGCACGAGTAAACGTGATGGCCGCAAAGGGAAGATGGTAGCTGGGCAGCGTGAGCTTTAAAGAACTCAAGCTCAAAACAAAACCTTGCTTTCTAGTAAGGGATTAGTGAATGAATGTGCATCTAGGAGTTTTAAGACAAATTAAAGATATGCATCATTTCACTGTACCCCTCCAGTCAGAAAGCCTGTACTTGTCTAGTAGGGCACAGAGGATGAGGGCTTTCTGTGGCTTATTGACAGGCCTCCTAACTTTTCTGAGGCTGTCTTGTCTTTCCAGTCGCTCCCACGTGAAGTTGGCCCTTAACGTTCTTTTCCTTTTGTGTTACTCGGCGCTCCTGGTGGGTGAGTAAACCCTTATAGGAAGATCTGCTCTCCAGCTTTTTTGAGGTCACATTAAATGTCAAAGCAGAGGTCTCTGCCCATCTCCTTCTAAGAACAACTTGAATGGTTCCAAATTAGATGCAGGGTGCTGGAAGAAGGAATTCCTGGAGATCCTAGTGGTAGATTTGTTCATTCTCTGGTCTTATTTATGGAATGGCTCTTATTTCCTCTGTTCTGGGTTTTTGGTGAGAGTTCTTAGGATCTTGTCAGTTTTCTTTCCCTGTAGTGATTTGGGTTAGGTGCTGTATTGATCCCATCTAAATCTTTACTGCTTATCTAATCAGTTTTTAGCATGAATTCCTTTCTTTCCTTGTTGGCATGAAGTTATGTAACTTCTTGTTTGTTGAACGAGTTTATTTCCAGTTTTTGCTGCTTCCTCGCTCCTCTTTAGATCCTTAGTTGGTAAGTTAGGATCCAACTGTGATCCAGCTTCACTCCGCCGTCTTCACCTGGAAGTGACCTTACCTTCCTTGACCGAGGAAACAGAAGCCGTGGACTCTTAGCGCTGTGTCTGACAAACCCGTGTACATGACTGTAGCAGGGGTTTTTGCTCCTTTCTTGGAGCTGCGGGGATTTAAGTGTTGGTCCCCTCATAGGTGTTTCCTGCTCTTGAATCTTCATGCTGTCGCCCTGTGCTTTCCGCTCACCTCTCCTCTTGAATGCGAGTGGGGTCCAGGGAGTTGGTGATTGTGTGTCTCTGCCCTGCTCTCCACCTGTCTGATGCCACCATCAGCTGCCTCTCTTGAACAGAGCCGTCTCTGTAGATCCAGCTCTTTGCTCCTGTTGGAATACGGTGGGGAGGGCTTGTGTGATCCTCTTCCTCTCATCCAGATAGACCAGACCTCGATCTCAGAGGTCGTGGACTTAGAAGAAAAGTGGCACAGTCCACATGCAGAATTACCAGCTGTGTTGCTGCGTGGTAGGCACATTTCCACACCATCCCTTGACTTTGTGTCAGCAGAGGAAGTAGGAGGAAGGTTGTCCTCCCATTATCTGGCAGCTTGCTGTCCAATAGGTATTAGTCCAGAGAAGCCAAGATCACTTGCTTCTATTGCTCATGAACTTACTGCTGTTTGAAGTATCCCAAAGTTTGACTTTTGCAAAGGGAGGATGAGTAGACAAAAAGTAGTCCAAGGAAGCCTGTAGAAAAGTAGTACCTGGCGAGAGTGAAAGAACACTCAGAAATGTTTGATGAAAAGCAAGTGCTGGTGGGAATACAGGGCAGCTTTAATTTTAAAAAATCAACGTGAGAAAATTCAATTCATAAAAAATTCTCTACAATGTGAATAAACTATAGGAAGCTAAAAAAACAGATTTAGGAGTCCACGTTTACTAAATACTAGAGGAAATTTCACTAGTTTGAAAAGGGTTTCCACTGTATTGGTTTTAGGCAGCTTTGGGGCTGAGCAGGGGAGAGAGAGGCAGATACTTCATTGAAATATTTGTGAAAATGAACTGTTTTAGTGGCTCAGGAGGAAGAAAAATGTTGGCCACACCCTCATTGGGTGGGAAGAGATTGTAAATGAATGTCTCAGCGAGTAATAAGTAATAGAGAACAAAATGAAACAGAGTAGTGACTAGGCCACACTGGGACAAGGGAGAGACAAGATTCATTATTCTGTGTGGGATATCCGAGACAGGTAAGTTTGAAGGAGGTGAGGGAGCTAGCCATGTCACTATCTGGGGAGAAAGTTCTCCACATACAGATGTTTAAATACTCTGAGGCAGGATCATAGCCTCCTGTTTGGAGGACTGGGAATGCAGGTGCTAGGGAGCAAGCCACCCGGAAGGTGAGGCTAGAGAACCAGCGGGAACAAGATTGTGGATCTCAGAGACGAGTGAAGCATCCGGCTTGGAAGATACATACAGGGAAGTGACAACCTGAGGTTTAGGGGAGTCACTGTTGCATAGCTAGTGAGGATGGACGCCTGGACTTTTGGGTATTACAGTAATTGGGACAGGAAGTAATGGGCTTGTTCCAGGGGGGTGGTGATGGAGGAATGACAAATTAACTGGATTCTGGAAATAACTTTGTGGATTTGGAATGTTTTGTGAAATAAAAGTCAACAAAGAAAGTGTTTTCCCTGAGTCATGGAAAGGGTGGAGTTTCTGCCTCCTGTGGTAGGAAAGATCGTAAGGATCGGGTCTGGGGGTCTGGGGGTCTGGGGATGGGAGCAGCTAGAGGGGATCTGTTAGTTTTAGATTGGTGAGCTTCAGATGCTTACTACACTTGAGCAGCTGGTACTCAAATCCTTGAATTTCAGGATTAAAGAGAGTCACACCTCTGTACCTTAGAGCAAGATAGCAACCAAGACTTTCCCTGGTAAGATCATCTTGAGGATATGAAAGGATCCAAATAATAAACTCATTAGGAAACGCTTAGGTGAGGGTAAAACCCCCAAACTAAAACAACGACGAATTAGTCACAACAAAGACCTGTTTTTTATGAGAGTGACTGGGAATTTGCAATGTATGGTGTTGAGAAAGCAATCTTGTAGAAAAGACACACTATGCTATTTTCACATTAAAAACATTTATACTAGGTAGCTCAGCCAAGCCTCAAAGTGAAGACTGATGGTGGAGGGGGAGTGGTAAATGAGTCAAGATATTCTAAATTCCTAATTTCCCATTCCTGGTGAGAACTGATGTTTGCTTTGTGGAAGATAAGCAACATATATTAATTGAACTAATCAGAAGTTCTATGTTTTTCACAAACAGCTTTGTAAAGCCCGCAGAAGCTCTTTGGAATAGTGTTTAAAATGTGTTGAGGTTTTGGAGATTTTTAAGTAGGTGAGGAAATTATCCCCAAGTTGTTAAATGGTGAAGATTTGAGAGTTTTGATAGGTGATATACTTGCGTTTTCAGCTGCAAAAGAACAAAAAATATTTCAGAAGGCTCTCTCCATAGTGCAATTTTTTTTCTGGAAGTAATTATCCACAGACTTCTGGTCATATGATTTCATAATATTTAACCTTATAGTTTGGCGGAGAGCAAATTTAGGGTTAGGAGAAAGGTCAGCACTGCCAGTTTCTTGTTCCACCTACTGGGGTTTTTGCTTCTACCTTTGTGTGCACCTTGCTGTTCTGTGAAACGTCTGAGCTGGTGTCGCAGTGTGCTTGGGAGAGGGAGTGAGGACTGCACCGCCAGACCTTGTTCTTGCCTCTTCACCTTGTATACAGATCAAATGAAGGCATCGGAATCAGTCCATATGTTTACTATTAATAAAGTTTAATTTAAATGCAAATTGGTATTTCGTTGTCTTCTTCTAGCACGCGGTGGAATCATCTTGTGTGCTCCATGAGATGTGTAAAAATCTTCCAGTTCAGTATTTATCAAATCCTGGTGTGTGGATAGGGAGCAGTAGCTTCCTGGGGCGCACAGTGGTTGTGGTTGGCCCCTGTCTCAAACTTACTAGACAGACTTGGATACAGCCTCGCAGTCTGCACACTTGACAGGATCCTCATGTGGTTCAGACGCTGTTTTGAGAGACACCAACTCTTAAAACCTAAACCATGTTAATATTTTTCAGCCTCACTTGATGCATCCCTCCCAAACACTTAGGTTCCACATGTACTGTTTATCAGCCTCTCAACTTAGCGTCCCTGTTCACATCTGCACACCTCCGTAAGTGCGTTTCCTTTCCCTGTGCTCTAACTGTTCAGGACAGCTCAAATAACACACGTGTTTTTGTGATTCTGTATGTTATTCGCAGCATGGAGTCTTTCCCCTTGTTAATATTATCCAATGTGAGGGAAAAATCAATTAATGCTCTTTAAAAGCAATAGAACAGAGATGTTTTTGTGTCTGTGTTATCCATGTACAGACTGATCCAACATGTATATCTGTATTTCCCACACATAAGATAATACCACTGCCTTTGAAGTCTGAAAGGGGCCGCCGCTGTGGTGCAGCGGGTTAACACCCTGGCATGAAGCACTGGCATCCAATATGGGCGCCAGTTCTAGTCCCAGCTGCTCCTCTTCTGATCCAGCTCTCTGCTATGGCCTGGGATAGCAGTAAAGGATGGCCCAAGTCCTTGGGCCCCTGCACCCGTGTGGGAGACCTGGAAGAAGCTCCTGGCTCCTGGCTTCAGGTCGGCCCAGTTCTGGCCGCTGTGGCCATCTGGGGAGTGAACGAGTGGATGGAAGACCTCTCTGTCTACCTCTCTCTGTAACTCTGTCTTTCAAATAAATAAAATCAATCTTTAAAAAATATAAAACAAAATCTGAAAGAAAGAATACCTGTTTGGGGATTATCCGTCTCCAAAGGAAAAGTACAGTAATACAAAATATAAAGGAAAAAGTAAACCAGACACAGTGGTATTTAATAAGGAGTAGTTAGAAGTTCACAGTCCCCTCTTCCACCCTTTCATAACACCAGTACACCTTGCTATTGAAGCTTTTAGCACTCTCATTCATCTTCCCTCAGGATTGTGGGGTGTGCCTGTTAGCGGTTGGTTGTTGCTCAGCTTGAAGTCCACCCTTCTTTGCCCTGCTTTGTAAGGTGGGAATGACCCAGTGCTGGTTTCTCCTATGCCAACTGCCTCATGCTCGACTTTGTCACTGGTGGGAGACAGTAAGGCTGTAGCAAGGGTAAGGGGCTTCCCTCTGGTTCTAGAATGCATTCTTTCCCTTGGTGTGGGCAGATTGGCTTGTCCTGGGTCTTGTAGCGTTCCCCTCGGCAGCCTCCACCTTCCTGTTTGTCTCCTGCCTGCTGAATGCTTCCGCATCCACACACTGCTGGTGGTTCCAGCATGTGGCAGAGGGCTCCCACGAGGCTGGCTGGGGCCCGCCTCCTCTACAGTCAGTCCCTGTAGCAGACATACCCATACTATAAGGGAGATATATATATATATATGTGTGTGTGTGTGTGTGTATATATATATATATGTTATTTCCATATTCATTACAGTCATCTTTCACCACTTGGAGTAAACCATGTTAATGTTTCTCTGCTGAAATTACTGATGTGGTTTTTGGATCCTGATTCATCTGAATATACTTCAAATCGTTTGTGGAAAATAGAACTAAAATTTTTTTGAAGCAAAAAGTCTTTGAGATCTATGCATATGAGGGATCTTCAAAAAGTACATGGAAAATGTATATTAAGAAAAAATGTGGATTTCAAAACTTTTTTGAACCAAAATAAATTTTTTTCCCTCGAGATTTAAGCCTGCCTAACTACTGGAAAGATGGTGGGACACAGAGAGACAACTCCTGTCTCCTGATTCACTCCCCAAATACCCACAACAGCTAGGCTGACCTGGGGCCAGAGCTGGGAATGCTGTCTAGGTCTTGTATGTGGGTAGCAGGAACTTGATTACTTGAGCCAAGGTAGCGGCAGAAGGCTGGAGGCAAGAGCTAAAGCCGGCGTCCACCTCGGCTATTCCAGTGTGGGACACAGGTGTCTTAACCACTAGACTAAATAACTACTCCTACACTTACCTTAATTCCATTTTCTCATAAACTCTTGGAAATGCTGTTGTATGCGAGATATGCTACTCATGAGAACTCTTCCAAGTGACGAATAAAATGCAGCTTTGCTGCATCAGGAAAAGCATGTGTTCAAATCATGGTTGCATGGATGTTACATATAGTGTCAGAAGGAGCAAATGAAGAGAGGAACAACTTTGTGCTTAAGACTTGTGTGGAAGGGGCTGGCATTGTGGTGCAGCAGGTAAAGCCTCTGCCTGTGATGCCAGCATCCCATATGGGCACAGATTCATGTCCCACCTGCTCCACTTCTGATCCAGCTCCCTGCAAATGGCTTGGGAAAAGCAGTGGAAGGTGACCCAAGTGCTTGGGTCCCAGTTACCCAGAGACCTAGAAGAAGCTCCTGGCTGCTGGCTTTGGCCAGGGTTATGCCCATCTTGGGAGTGAACCAACAGATCTCTTCTCTCTCTCTCCCTCTCTCTAACTCTGACTTTCAAACAAATAAATAAACCTTAAATTGTGTGGATGTTGGCAAGTGGGAGGATAGATACTAATATACTGATCTGGTAGAGTTTTTTGTCTGCCCTGAGTGTGTATCATGTTGGTAATAGGAATCTAGATATCCATAAATATTGCCTTGTTTGGATGGCACACAATTCAGACACCAACTTTCTGTATGTGATTTCTATGTCCAGATTGCTGGGAGCTTCCCAGGGTAGTTCTGTAAAGAGGCCAACATCTAAATACCTGTCTTACATCAATATTAACATTCTTCTACATCTTGCTTTGTCTAGCTAATAATACATCTTAAAAGTCAATTTTTAAAATATTTATTTGGTGGAGTTACATAGGGAGAGGGAGAGACACAATTAGAGAGATCTTCCACCTGCTGGTCCACTACCCTAACGACCTCAATGGCCAAGGCTGGACCAGACCAAAGCCAGGAGCTTCTTTTGGGTCTTCCACATGGGTGTAGTGGCCCAATGGGTGCAGGGGCCTTCTTCACTGCCTTTCCAGGGGCATTAGCAGGGAACTGTTTTGTTTTGGAAGTGGAGCAACTTAGACAAACCAGTGCTGATATATGATGCTGATGTCGCAGGCAGTGGCTTTACCTCCTTTGCCACAATGCTGGCCTGATCTTTTGTCCATTTCGAGTTAATTTTTCTGTAAGATGTGAGGCTTATGTCATGTAATGTTTTTATTGCTTGTAGATGTCCAGTTCCTTTAGCATTATTTATTGAAAAGGCAGTCCTTCCATTCACAATTGTCCTTTGCACTTTCATTAAAAATCAGCTTCCATCTATGTGTGGGTCTGTCTCTGGGGTCTCTGTTTTCCAATGATTTAATGTGTGTATCCTTTCAAAAACAATGCAGTGTCCTACATGCAATACTGAGTAGAATGTTTCCTCCCATTTTCTTCTCTTTTGAAATCGAAATAACTAATTCCTTTGATTTTTCATGTCAATTTTGAGATAAACTGAATTATATTTACAAAAACAATCTTGCTGACATTTTGACAGAAATTATGGCAAACATATAGGTCAATTTGGGGAGAATTGATAATTTTACTATGTTGAATTTTTCTAATCAGTGAACACAGTCTCCACTTATTCAAATTTTCCTTAATTTTTTAGTTGTTAATATATAAGTTCTGGGGCCGGTATTGTGGCGTAGCGGGAAAAGCCACCATCTGCAGTGCCAGCATCTCATATGGGTGCCGGTTCAAGCAGCTCCACTTCCAGTCCAACTCCCTGCTATGGCCTGGGAAAGCAGTCCTTGTGCTCCTGCACCGGTGTGTGGGAGACCCAGAAGAAGCTCCTGGCTCCCAGCTTTGGGTTAGTGCAGCTCCAGCCATTGTGGCTATCTGGGGAATGAACCAGCGGATGGAAGACCTCTCTCTCTCTCTCTGCCTCTGCCTCTCTGTAACTCTGCCTTTCAGATACATAAAGAAATAAATCTTTAAAAAAACACAAGTTCTGTATAGGTTCTGTTAGATTTATACCTAAATACGCCTCTCTTTTTAACAATTATAAATGGCATTGTGTTTTTGATTTGTCTCCAGGTGTTTATTGTTAGTATATGGACATAACATTAATTTTTGAATGTCAAGTTTGTGTCGTAAAACCTTACTAAATTAATATTTCTAGAAGTTTTTTTTTAATTTCTTGACAGTTTCTATATAGGTCATTATGGTCTGCAAATATGACCAGTTTTGTCCCCCCCCCCCTTTTTTTTTAAGATTTGTTTATTATTTGAAAGAGTTACACAGAGGAGAGGTGGAGAGAGAGAGAGAGAGAGAGAGAGAGGTCTTCCATCCGCTGGTTCACTCCCCAACTCTCCAGTGGCTGGAGCTGTGCTGATCTGAAGCCAGGAGCCAGGAGCCTCTTCCAGGTCTCCCACGTGGGGGCAGGGGCCCAAAGACTTGGGCCATCTTCCACTGCTTTCCCAGGCCATTGTAGAGAGCTGGATCAGAAGTGGAGCAGCCAGGTCTCAAACTGGCGCCCATATGGGATGCCGGCCCTTCAGGCCAGAGCTTTAACCCACTGCGCCATAGCGCCGGCCCCCGTGGAATGTATTTTAAAGCAGAATTTGGCTGAACGTCGACATTGGCCTCCTGTCTCTGAATGGAGTCACCTTAGTTTCTACACATACTAAGTAAGGGCCTTGCTTCTGAAGTTTACACTCAGAATCACGTTCTTAAGGTATGGTTTCAGACTGAATTGCCAGTCGATGTTATATTGGTTAGCCTATGCACGCATAATATGCCATGATAACATGCCACCCTCAAGCGGATTATTCTTGCCTTTGAGGG